TGCAACTCGGCTGCTTTCATTTATAATTCAGTTTTTCATCTCAGCGGAGCGTCATGTTGCCAGTTTTTGACCTAAACCAGCAGCTCGGAGCGCAGCATTCAGACCTGGGACAGACCCACGGAGACGCCACTGCACGGGACATCCCACACCGACAACCCCATTAACACAGGCAACGTTCCAAAACTTCCAAAATTGGCTTTAAAAATAATCTCCCAAAGAGGCTATTTTTGAAAAACTTACTCCTATACCATATGAACATTTTGAATATTTGAATAGAACCTACTTTTTCCCACATAAACTGATTTTGAAATATACTGGAACATAATTCTACTTTGGGTTCGTATTTTAAAAAGTAATACCTTATTATTTGTTTGAAATTTGCGAGTAAAGTGCTGCACAATGGTGCAAAAAAACACCCCCTTTTTTTTTTTGCTTAACAAACTCCGGAATCTGAATCTGTCAAAAATACAGTCTCTGATACTACGATGGCAGAGACCCTTCATAAAAAAATGCTGTAAAAAGGCACAATGACAGTTTTAAGCCTAGAGCCAATCTCAAACGGTTCCGAACTATACTGACTGGCAGCGAAACATGAAGTTTGTCATGACACTGAAATACGATCAACGTTACAACAAAACCTGAGCAAATTGGGGTGGAACCTCCACCTACCTGAAAATTAAATGCACCTATAACTTCCCTCCTTGATATGGGCGGGGAAGGCACAGGCAGCTTCTCTGAGACAGTAACACTGTACTGTAAATAACAAAAGAACAGAAAATAATAAAAATACCCCGTCTCAAAAGTCAAAACTATTCTGGTACTGGTTTGTATTTAACACACCACCACCCCCACACCCCCCCCCAGACATCTCGATTAACAAAATCAAGCTGTGAAGATCTGCCTCGGACACAACTGATGTCCCGATGTCCAGATAAAGGCAGATCTTGGATTAATATAATTTCATAAAGCAAATTAAACCCATGGGACTAAGGTATGTCGAATTGCTTCTTTATGAAGCAAATCCATTTGATAGCAAAAGTCCTATTTATTATGGACTCCTCCCTAGAAAATAAAAAAAATCCATCAATCCATGAGAGACCATACAATGCAATCTCATTGTGGGCACCCAAAAACCCGTTCCGGACTGGCAGATGTTTCATTTAATAAAGGCCTGGACTAGAAGATCAGGTTGTCTCTCTCTCCTCCTGCTCTCCCACCGGTTCCCAGAGTTTCTCCTTGAAATGTGATGCCTTTTCCTGAGGCTGTTTTTCTACTAGACTGCATCAATTGCTTCCCTTCAATTAGCAATGGCAGCTTTACTCCTAATTGGAGGGATTAAAATTGAGGCTGTTCAGAGCTATGCAGGTCTCATGTAACTGCTTAGTAAATATAGTAATTTCTAGTTAGTGGGGTTTTTAAAGAAAAAATTAATGATCTTTTGTACTTAACCTAGAGCTTTGGAAGACAGTAATTAAAGAAATACCTCTCCTGTTGAAACGTTTGAATCAAAGCATCCAGTAAGAAATCAGGATGTGATCTAGTGAAAGATGAACTGTCAAGGCTCTTGACAGGCTGATGGGTTTTACTCTGCAAAATAAGAATACATAGAGACAAAAGGCAAGGGCATTAAAAAAAATACTCTCTCTGAAATTAAAACATTTCAAAAAAAATCTGAGTATGGAGGGACTTATGGTTGGTCTCGGATTAATCAGCTGTGGGCAGGATCAGAGTAGCAAAGGCAGTAAGCCATCCCTTTGAACCTCCACTCAATGAGCCAACAGCAGACCAGAAGTTAAATTAAGGTCTCCTTGGTATCATCTGCGATTACATTAACCTCATCCTAGCTCCTGCTGACAGAACCTAGCATGCACACGCGTTTCCTTTTGCCTTGTGAATGGACCCAATTTGTCTGACTGTAGACACCAAATGGAAACAGATGTATGAAGAGACCAACCCTCTGAATTTAATGACCAGCTTTAGTACTTAGTTGCCTAACAATCTTAAACTTCTCCTTTCTTGGCAGAGACAACTTAACAGGGAGAAGTAATACACTTGTGTGAAGCAGTGAACTTCTGACAAAACCATCTATGCACAAACACCAGCAGCATTAAAGAAACGGCTGTACAACATGGTCCTAACAGGATGGCAAAGGTAGTTGAGCCTTGATCCCCACTCTCTCCCATCCGAATGACTGCCTGTTCCTCATCACAGTCCCCCTGCATGACCACACTGCTGCTGCCACCCAGCTCAGCGCCAACCAAACTCAAGCCTGTGTTCTTCTTAGCATGGGACTTCCACCTAGATGGGCTCCACACCCCTCTTCCCACAGCCCCCATGCAACAAGGAGGTCAACAGCACGCTTGCCACCACAGCTGCTTCAGTCATCACACGTAGCTTGCTGGAACTGTTGAGGTAACCCCAAACCACCACTGATGGGCTGAGCCTTGACCAGCATTGGGTCCCTCTTGGAGCCGACTGGTGTTGGCTCTGTTGGACGCAGGGGAACCTTGTGGCAGCTTCTCACAGAAGCCACCCCTGTAGCCCCCCTTGCCACGCAAACCCAATACACACTTACATTTGGATTTGCAGTAAGCATGAACTTAGCAACTACTGTTTAATAATTTATTAACTTTTCCTATTAAATGGTACATTCACTCAAGACGACTTAAACAATTTTCTGGTAATTTTATTTACAGTCTGCAGAGTGTTCTGTAAAACACAGTAATGATTACAGACTAAAACACACAACATACATATTTTCAAACATTTAAATAAGCACAGTTTATTCAAAAGTAATTCTACACACTACTTTTTCCATAAAAATATAAAAAATAGTTTAGTTACTATATTTACCTAAACCAAGATATTTAAGAATTCTTCCACATGTGATGCCCCCTCCCCAAAAAGGGGCACTCTAACAATAAGAAATTTAGGAGACGGCATCACAAATTAAAATACTAATGCCAACTGCTTCAATCCACCAAAAGAACAAATAACTTTCAATTTGCAACCAGCAATACTTGCTCTGCAGTATGTTTGGATTTTCCTTTTCTTGGGTTTGGTTTTTTTTTTTGTTTGTTTTTTTGGTTTTTTGTTTTTTGTTTTTTTTTGCACTAACTTGCTTCTCCCATGCCAGGTTTTCACAGACACGTACACACTGTTACATAAAAATAATGGACTGATTATACCGCAGACTATAATGCCAGTCACCATGTGCCCAACAACACGGATTGGTAATCTTGCATTACACAACAATTTTTTGCAAAAATATCAAAAGGGAAACACTTTCCTTTGGGACGTCTATTTAAAGGCGACTCCTTCTCTTACTGACCATCCAGTGAAAATAGCCTTTTTCCTATCTCCTTGAAAATAGTGCCCATTTTTGTTTGCTACTACTATTTCTCTGGTTTTACTGACCATATTCTGTATGGAAAGCTAATGGAGTTCTGAAGAACACCCACTCAAGCCCTTCTCTCACTAGGATACATTTAATTTACAAAAAAAGGCACAAAGATGAAACTCCTAAGCAGCATCAGTCATAATTCTTCCACTGTGCACTGCTCCTCTTTCTTACACAGACACTGCTGCAAGCGACACTCTGTGTCTCAGAAAATACTACAAATACATGAGCTAAGGAAACAGGCGAGTTGAAAAGACTAAAGCCTCTGTACAGTACAAGTAGTATATTGATCATTAACAAATGAACACTATTTAAAGTTTTTTGTTAAAGTTAAGACTCGACCTGGAAGCATCAGGAAAAGCCATCAGAAAAAAAGCTCAGCAGCATATAATACATTTGTTAACAGTGAGATGGAAGGCCCTCTGTGTGCAACATTGTGCATTCAGTTTCAACAATGACAGTGCTCTACAGCCAGCAGTGTAAAACTTTTGCTTCTAACAGTTTAGAGGATTTTCTAAATGTAGGTGAAGCGGTCATAAACGGCATAGTAGTATATGATGCACGGCATGATCTGCAATAAAAAGCTTTTGCTTTCCAGCATGTAAACATCCAGGTTACTGGACCTTAGCTCATATAAACAAATCTGATGATAGATTTTTGAACTAAAAAAGTAAAATTTTCCATCAAAGGATAAACCACAAAAATACTCTTTCATAAGTCTCACGTGCCATTTAATACCTTTCATGTCCTATGAACAACTATGCAAAACATTTAGAAAGTTTTAGCAGTAGAAACGTTGACCAGTTAAACTGTTTGGCAACCATGTGCTCAAAACATCCTTGAAGAGCATTACCATTCACTAAACAACAGTTCTAGACTGTACCACACTATTTCTTCTTCTTTTTCTTTGGTGGCTCATCATCAGAACTACTGTCTGTGCTGCTGCTGCTACTGCTGGAGGAACTAGAATCTGATTCGAACTCTGAAGAAGAGGAAGTACTACTCGAGGATGGAGAAGATGAGGAAGTAGAGGAGCTCTCATCACTGTCACTGTCATCATCAGAAGAAGAGGTAGAAGAATCTTCGCTGTCAGATGAGGAATCACTAGCCGAACTGGCACTGCTACTGCTGCTGGAACTGGTCACGCTTTTAGATCTGAAAGAAAGCAAATACACAGATGAGAACGGGCCTGCTGGAGACAGCATTCATTACACAGTGTTCTTTATACTGTGTTGCAATCCAAAGATCAATTATTTGGTCTGAAAGTTTCCAGACCCGACAAATCCAAGACAAATTCCCATGTCTCCCCAGTTCTGAACAAATGCATTTTGCCCATTTGAGCAATGGCAGAGTGACTCCATGTAGATGTATTGAGCTAAAACAGGACTACAGAAAAACGTTACGTTTGAAAGCTGGCAAGTATCTTGTTCATAGTAACGACAAGTGTCTTTACTGACTTGGCTAAATAGAAGAACAAGGCTGCAGAAATATCAATGCCCTGCACTACTGAAGCCTCAGGGAAAAATTAACAAAGATCAGTTCCCTAGCACACCACTGTAATAAGGAATGAAATTTTGGCAATTTACAAGTCAGTGGAAGTTTCATCAGTGATTTCACAAATGTTAGAACTGTACTCAATGGAAACTGTTCTTAGATTACTCCTGGCAAAAGAACCCAAATTACCTGCCACTACAGGATGCTTATGTTTTCAGTGTGGAGGAGAAGGGGTGGCAACCGTCCAAGATAAAGACAGAATTACGAACACAGCAAAGTGGATTTCTGTATCCTCTGCAATTTTTTTTAAAAATAATTTTTAGCCTTTACTGAGGCTGTTGTTCTCAAGATCAAGGCCTCTGCTTAAGACAGGATGAATTCCAAGACAGTAAAACTAAGTTCTCCCATAGATCTTTCTCCAAACAAAATGTAAAGGTACTAATTCACCCCGCTTCCCGCCAAGTCAACCGAACAGCATGCGAAAATGCTAGATATAACAACGCTGATTCTTCTTTCCATTAGAAAATTAATGTAGTGGGTTTTATCAGAGGGTTTGGTTAAATACAACAACTCAACTCAGGAAATGCCTATGTTAAGGCTATTAGAGAAGGAGTAATATTTTTTCATCGTATCAGCCATGGTCATGTCAGCTGACAAATCTAGATGCATGTATTAAGCTATGAACCACTGACGTTTTCATAATACATCTGTAATCTCTTATCGCTGTGCATGCAGACACAATGGCTATTTAATAAAGACAAATCCATAAGGGCTGGTTAAATACAGACTTATTTTTGGTGAAAAACCAGTCTTAAGACTAGGAAAACAAAACAAAAAAATATGGTACTAGCAGTTTAAATCTAAACAGTTTCATTAGATGTGCAGACCCATTTTATATGGACAAGAATCAATCTGGGGATCCCCTGAATGATAACTATGGCTGAACTTTCTTTTCCTAATCACCTTTCACAGAATCCACAGCAGCAGTCCATGGACCTCCACTGTTTAGGTTTTAATCCTAATTCACAGAAACATCAGAATGTAACACTGAATACTGCTTCTCTTAGAAGAAAGCAATAGCTAGATCTATGAGAGAAGAAACAAGCAGATACTTGTTTTCAGGTGATGCAACACTTGGCCTGCTGGTAGTTACAGAAGGAGGATAGAGCTGGGAGCAAATAAAATTCATCTACTTCACCTTGTCCTAATTAGGCAATGTGACAACCCAAATGCTATAGATGGGTAGATCTAAGATCTTTGTGTCTACTACACCACTGTGAAAGTACAAAATTTCTCCAGCAGACAAGCATTCATTCACCTTAAAACAAGGTCACAAATGTTACTGTCTTGTATGATTCCATGCACCAATTGTGGAACAACTGCTGCATTTTGTAACACATGCTATCACCCCTCTCTGAGACTTTCTGTCTTTTCTAATTCTACTGCAATCATCTAACAACCCCAGGTGATTTTAAACTTGCTACTTAAAACGAATCTACAATTTTGGGCACAACCACAGCTCGGTGCCTGAAGAAATAAGTGAATTAAGAGATGATTTTCCCCTTCAGACAGGTAGATCTATGTGCGATCCAAGCACGAAGTGGGCTTCTAATTAATAACCAAAGTACGGCGTATGGGAACACTGAAGCCAGCAGGCACCCAGAAGACAGCTCTGTGTCACCTGAGGTCACAAGATTGTACAACAGCTGTTTTGCCTGTTCCTGTTTTTCTGGTTAAGCCTGTAGCTTACTTATTACTGTTTATATCAAAACAAACATACACTATGTAAAAGGTTAGTGCTCACTACTGCCAGAACCCTAACTTTTACTTTTTTTTTTTTTTAAGTCTGGATCTTATATCCTTACTGGTTACGCTTTGCTGAATTTTCTGCATTTAATTCTTCCTCTGTCACAATAAAAATTTAAATAGCAAATGATCTGGAAAGGAATTTATATTGATGGATTTGGTGCTTGCATAAAAACAGGAAAACAACTCAAACTAGAAGAGTTAAAATGTTAAGGAAAAAGTGAGCAAAAGTATTTAGGGGCAAGGAGGAGGTTTGCTCTTTTCATTTTTGCATTGGTTTAGAGGTCAAACACTCTGAAAATCATTATGCCACGTAAAAAACTGCAGCACATGAGAAAGCTGAGGCAGGAAGAGGTCTGAACTACATTGTTTGGAAATCAGTTAATTTATGATCTCACTAGTCCTAACTAACTCCAACAATAAATGGACACTACTGAGGAAGGAGCCTTTGATAAAACATATTTGATAGCAGAACTAGGACGCTCACTAAGAAGTATTCCAATAAAGCCATATTCCACGTGATAGCCTAAAATAAAGGCATGTTTTAAAAAATGGCTGTGGCTGATTTAATGACTACCACACAAAACAAAGGGCCCAGTCTTTAAAAATCTTCTGAAAACCATTTTTAGAAGATCAGATTTAGACGCAGAGGACAGTCAACTAAATGCAAAGAGATAATGAGGCTATTACTGTACAGACATGCCCCGTAAGTAACACTCATAACGTGATTAGCAGTATTGCAGCCAGGGTTCTAGCTGTTCCTGAAAGGCTTTTGCTAATAAAGACAGAAGCAGATTGCGGATTCCCAAGCAAACATTACTGCAAAGTGAAGTAGAAACAATGCCAAAAGAGAAAGAGTTCTTGGCTCGACTTAGTACTTGGGGAAGGGAAGAGGTTTAGTTGCTGGATTTCGTTTTGGTCTGGGATTGGGGGTTTTTTCTTTGGTTTGGGGGTTGGGTTTTTTTAGATGCTTTATTTCATTCAATAGACAAAGCTTCAGAGACAGCTGCTATGAGAAGGGAATGAAAACAACGAAAGGAAGAGCAAGATGGGTAGGTGGAGTGATTACAGACTAGAAAACAGCATGCCACTTGTACAATTGTTTAAAATACACTTGATGAATTTTGAGGCAGAAATAGGAAGATTTTTATTATGAAAGCAAGATCATGTAGAGATAGGACAATTGGTAAGGAAAAAAGCAGAAGACAAAGAATTTAGGTTTTGGACAGGGAGGAGCAGAAATTCTCCAAATGGCTGTCATACAAATGCCTGTAACAGGCTAAAAGCAGTAAAATCAAAACTGTACTTGCAATATTGACTTTCCCCACACCCCCCCTCCAACCTGCCTGCCGCAATACCCAGTCCAAGATCACACACTGAAACAGCTGCACAGTTTGTCATCGTTCCCCCCATACCTTTTTTTCTTGGTCTTCCTTTCTGCGGTACTTTCTCCAGTGCTAATTAAGGGGGGGAAAAACAATGGCTTTGATTAATGCAGTAGGAAAATTAAATACGTAACAGTACAGTGGAGCCAAGTTTAATATTAGAAAACTGGTATCCCACTGGCTGAGAGCCTCACCACCCAAAGTTCATTTGGCACATATCTTCAGTCACTATTCAAACCAGAAAAACAACAATATCTACAAATCAGGAAAGAAAAAAAGGCAACAATTTACCTCTAATTTTCTGTGTTAAGTATGCTTTACTGTTCTTTACCCTTTTCTTCATATTATATGGGCAACAACATTTTGGGATGGGAAAAGCAGAGGAGATAAGGATACAAAAAAAAAAAAATTCTGTGTACCTGTATTTAGCAATAACTGAATTGATTGAAATGAGGGTAAAATACTGAATCAGTCTGTTGCTTTCACCATGTATGTCTTTCAAGTACAAAAAGACACAGAACAATCCATTTATACCGTTGCTTTCCAGCTACCTGTCTTTCAGATTCCCTTGTATTCATACACTCACAGAAAGTTTTAGTGGTAAATGACAATAGAAGAAAGTTTCTTTTAACAAAACGCTAAGGGATTTTTTTTTTTTTTAAGAAAAAAAATTTTTTTTCATTCAAAGGTACCAGTCACATGCTCTTCTCAATGCATTGCAGATATATAGCACATAATTCAACCTAGAACGTACATGTGATTAAAGCAGTCCCTCATCGTATACTTACAACATGCTTAATGTGCCCCTGATATATGAGGAAGTCGTACGTTCTTTCACGAACTGGGCTACTTTTTCCTGAACTGAAGCCTATTATTGGAAGCCATCTTAAATACACAGAAATAAAAGTATGAACTGCAAATATATTTCATTTAGAAATTAGACAGTAATATGTGTTAATAAAGGCTCCAGAAAAGGGTAGAAAAAAGCATGAAGTATAAACTATACTGTATTTCAATAAAAGTACACAATGCCATGTGTATGCCAGAAAAATATTATAATTACACAGAAGAGTTTTCCACATTCCCCACAATCTCCTGTGGGCATTCATCTTCATTCATTGACCTTCAAATTTTGAACCAAGTTACAATCCCTCCTGTATTGCTGAATGCCATTAATATTTATATTATTAAGGCCTTATACCCTTACCGTAGGTAACCAGGTGTCTCACAGGTAAGAGAAGTCACTGTGAGTAAACAGAATTAGATCCCAAAGCAACTTTTGGAAGACGGGACCTAATTCAGCATACGAGTAACCCAGGCTGCCATGGCACAGGTCTATGCCTCCCTCTAGCGTTTAACGTATGGACAAGTATAGGAGTTCACCACTCTGTGGAACTACACAACTCAGAGGGGTCAACCCCCTGCAGATCAAACAGATCTGCTTCATGACACTTGGTCATTTTCCCTGTGGCACCACACTGTCTTCAGAACTACAAATAAGACTTGGGCATCCTGGTTTTGGTTCAATGCAGTAACATCACTAAGAAATAAGCATTTTCTCACCTTTCCTCCCCTCCCAAGTCCTACTCTAGGACGGGCAAGCAGTGGGCTTTACTGACGCCTGTAAGCAAAACCACCATAATGCCCATCAGAATGGTGGGGTCAACACTGGACAAATAAAAGGATCCTGGAACAACTGCTGAAATGAGTTAATGCTGAAAAAATCTTGTATGTGGTTGTCAAAAAGTAAATAATTAACCTTCTTAGCCTATGTTTGCCTTCTGGTTAGTGATTCATTATTAGTTCTTTAAAGGTGATGATACAAATAGTCTGAAGCAGACCTGTAGAAGACATGGCTTCTCTGCAGACAAGAAATAACCTTCCAAAGCAAGCTATACAAAAAGTAAAAGTGTGACCTAGGAAGTTATTCTTTCCATGAAGAGTAAGCTTCATCCTTGAAAGTATAACATTGGCACCTAAGGAACTGGATACCTCATGGCACAGTTAAGGAGCTTCACAGAGCTTATGATTATATAACTGCTATGAATCCAGCCCAGTTTAACCAGGATTAAAAACTGTTCACATCTAAGGATTACTTAATCTTCCTTTTATGAGATGACTTTTCACACCGCATAGCCCTCCCACTGTGGGCTGTTAGCTCAAAAAACTCCATTCACAACAGCCACAGGACAGTCCTGTAACTCCTATATAAAATTATCCCATACACAGACTCATGGACAACGGCCAGGCAACAAGCAATTTCACCCTCATTTCACTATCCTCCAATGTTAACCTGCAGAATTTAACAGAAATAGGGAAGAAAAGGAATGAGGAAGTAATCCGAGTCTTAAACTTGACCTTTGTCTTAAAAATCTTGAGTCTCTGAAGAACTCTTCCAAACTCTCTCCAAATGGAGCAAGTTTTAGAGCCTAAGCACACACGATTTTTATCTGCAATACTAGGGGATAACAGTTGCTTCAGAATTACTCATTGGATCAAAATTAATTTCAAAAATCAAACATTTTATGTCACTCTTAACACAAGCTAATGGGCTTCCACTTACGTCAGTATTTCAACACTGATTCATATTGCTGCTTCAGTTGAAACGGCTGACGAAGTCAAATCAGACCTCTCTGCCAGAGGGTACCACCCATTTTCTTTCCCCATTAAGATAACAGAGCAAAAGGTGTGAACGCTCTT